ATGGAAGAGCGAATTGATCAAAACAGCCGTGATTCGACTGAGGGAGAGAGCGTGTCCCTCTCCCCAAATCTACCATCTCCTCCAATTTTGCCCCACCAGGCAGCACAGCAAGTACACAGAACCACAAACTTTTTTATTGACAATATTCTGCGGCCAGACTTCGGCTGCAAGAAGGAGCTTGGGAGTCGGGAGCGGGCGCAGACCTCGGGCAGAGAAAACGTCAACCCCTTGGTAATCAGGCCATCTCACGCGAGTAGCCTTTGCCAGGATTCCAACTGCAGTAGTGACAGTACTTCTTCGTCGTCGTCCTCGCCGTCTTCGAAACAGAGCTCGACAAAACAAGGTGAAGGGAATGGGACTACCACGACGAGATATGGAGACACCGCGTCTATAGTGGTTGTGAATGCCAGTAATGGAGGATCTCCACCCGCTAAAGAATCTACGCCGATGTTATGGCCTGCGTGGGTTTACTGCACGAGATATTCGGATCGACCATCATCTGGTATGGCGCTAGTTTCTGAATAATTTTACCCCTGCACGTCTGAAATGTGAAAGTCCGTTATTTTGGTTATGTTAGGAGTAGGCCTAGCCTATAGGCCAATTTGAACATCGTAAACATCTCTCTCTCTCTCTCTCTCTCTCTCTCTCTCTCTCTCTCTCTCTCTCTCTCTCTCTCTCTCTCTCCCTCTCCCTCTCCCTCTCTCTTTCTCTCTCTTTCTCTCTCGCTTCGCTCCATCTTATAAATTAATTCAATTCGTGAGCGTTACGCACGATAGGCTAAATGAAGAAACATACCTTGCAAAAGCTAATAATAACAGTTGCCAAAACAACAAATAAGGATAGGCCTGGATTATCATAGTAGGCTAGACTAGACATATGCCTATAGTACTTGCCATAATATCTCTAACAATAACACACACAAACACACACACACAATTGCCACTATGTTTTGGTAAGAGCATTTCAAACAAAACGATTAATAAGACCTGGTAGAACATGTTAAGAAGAACAACTGGGCAGCAATCTGATTCTCCTCCCTAATTTGTATTTTTCTCCTCAAAACAAAACAATGCCGAAAACTGGTCCGCCATGTTATCATATTGTTTATGTAAAACTCATTGAAAAGTTTTGCATGGACAAGACAAACTTGAAAGGAGTGGACACCGAAACGTCCACTTTAACTGACCTCGTTTTGTTTTACTATCTTGTTTTACTTCACACCATATGCCTATACTGACTGTTAACTATTAGGCAAGCCTTCGATGTAGGCCGTCTCCAAATCGGACAAATTGCTAAATATGTACGAGAAAAAAAAAGGATAGATTAATCAAATAGTTTAGTCTATATTATCTACATAATCCAACCATCATGTCGTTCGATTAGGCTACAATAGCTGATTTATTTTCACCTGACGAACATATTGATGGGCCTATGGTGTAAATCAGGGGTTTGTATAGACTGCCTTGTCAATATGATTGGGGGTTTATTTTCCACAATCGTTATGAACTTGACATGGGATTCAGAATTCAGAAAATATGTATTGATTGACTAAAGTGATTGATTGACTGATTAAGCTATAAGATTTAGTCCTAGGCTATATAACTTGAACAAAACACTAGGCCTATTGGTTTCGATATCTTTCGGGATTGATATCTGGTAAAACAATGTAGGCCTACGAAAATGGAATTAACCGACAGACAATATAATTGTTTTAGCTAATCAAATAGCCTAGGTTATATTTTCGGCAAGTAGGCCCTAGCCTAGCCTGTGTATGTGCTTGCTATTGTAGGCCTACTACTGTTATTGTATTCAGAAAAGTAGCCTATATCTGCAGGTAAACGTGACCTCTGTCGTTACATGTTAAGCTATTTTGGCCCGTGTTGTTCCAAATTACAAAATAAAGATGACGTAGGCCTACAGTCCGTAACGCAGATTAAAATGTCCAATCAAAGTATAAGGCTATATAGGCTAGGTTTATGCGCAATATCTCGTGTTTATGATAGCAGGAGAAGCCTATAGTTGAGTTTCACACAATACAGTATCAAACTGTGATTTAAACCGTATTCTACAATCAACTGACTGAATTGGGATCCGCAGCTTTTTTTTTTTTGCAATATACGGCCTAATTGTGGTTTTTATCCTATAGAAAATCGTTTTTTTCTGAAATGACAGCCTACATTTTGTTGTGTTGTCTGCGTTTTAGGAGAAGTCAATAGAATGGATGAATAGTAGGCCTATATTAGCTATGCGCTAGGCCTATATAGCTGTTTGGTAACAAGTTTTCAGAAAGTGTGTAATAAAAAGAGAAATAATTAGGCAATAGGTTGATATAATTGAAGGACTAGTAAATTCGTATTAATAATAACTTCAATTGAGTATACAAGTATCTTCTTTATCGCAATATTAGCACAGTGTAAATGCTACATTATGAACCTCTCAGATGTAATTCTGTGTAAGTTACATGGCTGTCGATAGAATAGCCAAGTATCTCAATACCAACTTGCAAAACAGTAGCCTTACGTTCCAGTGCAATGGCGTTTTTGATAGACCTATTGCAATGTAGGCCTAAGCATAGCCTAGTGAAATAGTAAGTAACCAAATATGTTGCCGTATTTTGTTTACTTTTACATTCATGGCACCGAGTTTTTATTACACACATTGATGGAATAAGCTCGTTAACTGACGGAGAAATAGTGGCTGAGCTGAGGCATAGGCCTACTATTGCTAAGGATGACTTACGCCATACTGTGTGTTCTCGTGCTTGCGCCGGTCTGCAGGTTTACAGAAGAAAAGGCATGCAAGGCAACAATAGTCTATTAGTGAGTATAGGCATATAGTTTGATATTATATTGATGTTATTGATATTACCCTACCTGTCTTAGGAAACGATGAAATTCGTAGACCACATATAGCCTAGGCCTAAACATATGCGTAAAATAGGCACGCAATCGAGGATAACGGGCTTTCACACCACTAGGCCTACATTTAATTGTTTTGACGTTTCTTATATGTTTTTGGTTCTGTATTATGTCATTGGAAGATATTTGTTACTGCATTTCTTAGATGATGAATATTCAAATGATTAAATTAGGTCAATACAACTGTTTATCATTTAGCCTTTTTGAAATGGGGGGGGGGCACACACTTTTTTGCACCTTGCGCCTGGGGTAAAATGCTCGCAATGACTGCAAACACACAGCAAACACACATTTAGGCATGAACAATATTTATTACATTGCATTACTCCATTGTTTTAGTAATGTGTAAATGAATGTTTGTTGGGCCTAGGACTAACTGATATTTACGTGTTCGTTTCACTGTTGTTTCTACATCAGGCCCAAGGACACGGAAATTGAAAAAGAAGAAAAATGAGAAAGAAGACAAGCGACCCAGAACCGCGTTTACGGCTGAACAGCTGCAGAGACTTAAGTCCGAGTTTCAGGCCAATCGCTACATAACAGAACAACGGAGACAGTCACTGGCCACAGAACTGAATCTCAATGAATCCCAAATAAAAATTTGGTTTCAGAATAAGAGGGCAAAAATCAAAAAAGGGAATGGCTACAAGAACGGCCTGGCTCTCCAACTCATGGCCCAAGGACTGTACAACCATTCCACAACGACGGTCCAAGAGGAGAAGGATGATAGCGAGTAATTTCCCCCCTCGTGCAGGGCAAAATAGACGCTGAACTGAAGCAGAGTGCTTGAACTCTTTTGTGAACTGAAAACGAAAGAGGTAAATACGATTTGACTGGGACAGATGCTATTTAAAACCGATTTCTGTTTATGATACAGTATATGGACATAATTATATAAAATACGAACATTATTAAAGTTTATATATAGCCAAAACAATATGACGTTGTATATATTTAATTCCAGGTAAGGTTATGTCTGTATCAATCCCTACTTGCTGGAGATTTAAACTTTTCTTTTACTTATGATGTTGTTGGCCATTGTTTTAGTATAAGTGTCTGGCTCATAGATTTTTTTGTGATTTCTGTCGCCCCTCTCCCTAATCTCTCACTATTCTACAGACTGCGTTTCTGAACCGACGCGCCAAGCCAAAGATTTTAATATGTTCAGAGAATATGTAGTCTGAAATAAATAAAAAAATGTAGAATGTGCTACAGCTTCATTCGTCATTGAAATACAATACATAAAAGCGTAGTTTATGAACCGAGTAAAACTATTAGCTTTCAAGGCCCAGGACTAACACTATGTCGTTTAAATAAAGCCAGAATAGACAATAACCTAATATGGGATATTTTGTTGAGCTTTCGGGAAAAATATAAGACTTCAGTGACACGATTGTTTCCTGTGATGCAAAACAAACCTACTTTTTTTTTAGTTTGTTCTGATATCTAAGACATATTCTTCATCAACGAACCAGTGATAGACTACGCTTAGCTTTTTAATGAGTTAATTCAGATAATGTTGACATGCATATATTTCCCACGAGCTATGTCATTTGCTATACAAACATTGCTTGTTAATAGGACAGAGGGTCCAGGCCTGCGTCTCTGTGTGTAGCCTAGCCTACCTTATAGTCTACACACTCACGGAAACCATGCAACCTATAGGCAGGCCTATATCGTCAAGGTCACAGTGCACGCATGGAAGTTATTTTTTATTATTCGTTTATTGGGGGGAAGACACCTGCTTATTATCATTATTACTAATATTAGTGATACTAGTAGTAGTAGTTGTAGTAGTATTACGATCAGTAGGCCTATTATTATTGTTCTGTCTTCAATAATATTCTATTACTATGAGTACAAGCCTTATCTCGGCCTTTATCATTGGAATATACTGTATGTCTACTAGGCCTGCTTTTAGGCCAATAGTATAAGACATCTTGATGAAATTTGTATATGGCAGTGGTGGAAAAAGTACCCAATTGTCATACTTGCGTAAAAGTAAAGATGCCTTAATACAAAATGACTCAAGTAAAAGTGAAATTCACCCAGAAAAATACTACTTGAGTAAAAGTCTAAAAGTATTTGGTTTTAAATATACTTAAGTATCAAAAGTAAAAATATTTTCAAATTGTTTATAATAAGCAAATCAGACGGTACAATTGTATTTTTACTTCTTATTTACGGATAGCCAGGGGCACACTCCAACACGCAGACATAAATTACAAATGAAGCATTTGTGTTTAGTGAGTCCTCCAGATCAGAGGCAGTAGAGATGACCAGGGATGTTCTCTTGATAAGTGAGTGAATTGGACAATTTTCCTGTCCTGCTAAGCATTGAAAATGTAACGAGTGCTTTTGGGTGTCAATGAAATTGTATGGAGTAAAAAGTACATTATTTTCTTTAGGAATGTAGTGAGGTAAAAGTAAAAGTAGTCAAAAATATAAATAGTAAAGTACAGATACCTAAAAAAAAACTACTAAAGTAGTACTTTAAAGTATTTTTACTAAAGTACTTTACACCACTGGTGTAACTGCTGGCTCAGTTCAGAACGTCATCATCTCTGTGTATAAGTTCATCATCTCTGTGCAGGCTATGTTGTGCTTTAAATAGCACTTTCAGTCTCCTCATGAAATATATAAGGATAATAAAGTCGACACGCTTAGGGGTGTTTAACTTAAAGGCTTGACTATATGACTACAAAAGTATTAAAAGCTTTTAGAGATAAACATACATGTAACAGAAGATTAAGTTCCACTGAAGTGAATAGTGAACACGTTGCAAGAATTCACCATATGAGTTAAAATGTTTAAGAAAAAAAAAACTAAAGCAATGGATGAGCAGAGGGACACACACGCGCGCGCGCACACTATATTGTATGATTGTATTGTATAGGATACTATCTCATAACTTGGCCTTGTGGTAAAGCAATATTATGTATATTTATTTATTTCCTGTTACTGGGGTACTTTCTCGAACAAGAGTTAGGTTGTCCTTTTGTCTAGCTTCTTGCCACGGTCACCAGACATCTTAACACATTGTAGTTATTTTTCCAAAATTGATATAATTTCACTTATTAAACTATTCCCGGGCATTTACAAGATTCGATTAAAGACGCAGGTGGTATGGAGGAACGCCAAAAGAAGCAGAATATCTAAGATCCGGACATTTTATTGGTCAGAGGAAAAGCAGATCTGTAAAGAGCATATTTCTGTAATAAAAAAAGTATAAATCAAATTCCAACTGTATAATTTGCCCCTTTTCCGTGCATCCTTATCAGTTTCAAAGCTCAAATTCATTAGTCTTGCTGCGTAAAGGGACGTATTTCCATTACATCTTGTTGCTATATAGGCTACTCTTGCCCTACCCTAGCCTACGTGAATCTTTTGGACTAGGTTCCCATTCGGCCTGTAACCTCCGTTTATGTTTGATAAGCCTCCCCGTGCACCCTGGGACATGACACGCGTTGTTTTCAATGCCAGTATGTTGCTCATTGGGATAGCCTATAGCTGAAATGTCCCGAAGATGCAGCACAGGCCTTTGTGTCTGCATCTCAAAGCCCATGGGCAAGCCATAGGTCAGACCGGGAAGTCAAAACAAGTAATTTATATTTATAGCACAATCTATAGGCTACATTAGGCCTACCAGAGGTTCATTTAAATTCGAAGACAGTGATACTTGTCATTTTCTTTGTTAACTTTCCTTTGTTAAAATGTTGAAATTATAAATCAGTGTAATGATTCTCAAATAGGTTACTGGGTTTATCAGACATAGGCCTAACAAAAACAATTCGTTAACTTTCCCAGGTTAGCACTAAAGGACACATTTTCACAATAGTCTATTTTTTTTATAGATATTTAGCAAAAATGTAATAGAACAAGGTAAAGAAAAGGCTTGTACAGTCCAATCCAAGACCGGAGAGTGATATGGCTATAGTAGATATGGCAATTTATTTTACTTAACCTTTATTTAGACAGGGGGGGTCCCATGGAGGGAACCCAAGACCAAGCAATTACACAATCATGGCAGGAGCATAGGAAACACACAAAGATAAATATAGAAAACACAATCATAAAAAACAACCACATTCCTCAGTGAAGAGGTCCTTTACCAACAATCTGAATTGCCCGAAAGGCACCAATGCGTCCAACATAGGGTATTCTGAAAGTGAGGTGCGAAGAAACTAAACGCCATGTGCTTCTTAATCGATAGCTGTAGTAAAAACAAACGAACATTGCCTATAACACCTTGCAACTTTCGTTGAAATAGAGTCTAGGCCAGCCTAGTTCATGGACAGAAGAAGTAGGCATAGTAGCTACACCCATATAAGACACTTTTATATAGCCTTCTATTGAACTTGTTCACATATTAGGGTTACCTAATAGGCTACATAATACGACTTCGCTGGACTAATATCCACTTTTATCGAATATTAGGGCATTGTTTTAGTTCTCCCAGATACCTTCAACTTAGTTATCAATTAGTGAACATTGTGCTTTGCAGGTGCATATAGGCTTAGGTGCTTTCCTGCGTAGGCTTGCAGCATTATCTTCTTTAAAAACTTCCCTGTGTGACAAAATGGGCCAGGATATTGCTATTTCCTGCAAATATGTAGCCTAGCCTATAGCCTACATCTTTATACCCCATGACACATGTTAATTAATTAAATAAATGTCTCTAAGTTAAATGTACCTTCAACAACAAGCCTATACTGGGACCTATACTGTCTAGATTACTCACAGTTTCTCAAAATAAGTGTAGGCAAATGCTATTAAATATGGAAAACCACATATTTTTTGCATTATCCCCCCAAAAGCATTCTCTGTCTACTTGACAACGGACGTGGTTCGTAGCATAGTGCAGGTAGGAGAAAACAATGAAAAACGTTTAAATTAATATAATATGGCATGGATCATTTGTTCGTAATTTCCACTCCGTTCAAGATTAAATGCTTCTATCTTTTTGAGGGCTATTTTTAAATTGATACATATAGATAAGTCCCTATTTATTAAAAATGGCAGGTTACTTTTTGATACTTGCTTACTCACTCAATTATTAAGGATGACTGCGTTTTGCAGCAAGCCTGGCACAAGTGCAACACAATAGAAATGGAAAACTATGAACAACTGACAAAAACAAACCTTGAATGTTAGGATTTGAATGCATGTTTAATATCAATTGATATTATATAGGCCTATAGCCTATTGATTACAGGTCTTACTCCTGAAAGTGCAATTGCATTCATTCATTCATTTGATAATTAATTCATAATACAGATTTTCCAAATTAATTTGGCTGCGTCCAACACACACTATAACGCCTATTCAATTGAAATACATGGTCATGTACCTAGTTTATTTCGTTGGTCCTAATATAAGCCTATCTGTTTGTTACGTAATCAGAAATGAGTTCGGATTTAATTAATGGTTGCCCACTTCTCTGGAGAGGACAGCAGCCCAACCATTTAAACAGCCCCTGGGCTTCTCGTCGGTTTTGTTTTTAATTATTTCCAATGTTGTTCGAACTGCTCTGGGTTTTGACGTTCAATTAACTCCACGAGTTTTAATAAACACACAGGCACACCACTCATGCATCATTTATTTGAATAACTTCTGTTAACATTGGACTTGAACTATGGGTGGAGTAGCCTGGCAATTAATGAAAAAATGTACAGCATTAATTAATTTCAGACATTTTCAGGACATTTCCAGTCAACATAAGCTTATTAATGTAGCC